CTGACTTTTAAAAGCTCACAAGATTAAAGGAAAGAGCTTGAAGTAAAGTGAAGTGAATAGAAGCAAACTAGGAAGCTTATGAAGCAAGATTGGATGACATGAAAAATATCTAGCTTATGTGGCATCCTAGCTAGCTATTTCTAGTAATTTGATTGGTTGAAACACATCATCCTTGGCCTATAAATATGAGGGATGGTCTGCCAAAGAAAGGAGTTTTTTGGCATTTTTAGATTTTTTTTCCGTTTCTTGCATTTTACTTTCTTGTTAATTTTCTTTCTAGCAGTTTCCTCCTTATTCTTTTTTAGGGTTGTTTAGGAGAAAATTCTTTACATTTTCTAGCAAAATTGACTTTTCTTACATTTATTTTTCATGCACTTTAAGATTGAAGCAACTAAAAGTTCATTTCCTTTAAGTTATCTTGCACAGTTTCATGTTTTTCCATTGATTTCTCAATGCTATTTGGTAATTTTCTTCACTAAGTTAGTTGTGGTTTTCACATCAGATCTTATTGAATTCTTACGAGTTTTGATTCAATTTTTTCTTTCTATAAACTCTAAATTTATAGTTTTATAAATCTGGAAATTTTCACTTTCAAATTCATTCCACAAAATTTTCTAAAATTCTAGAAAGTTTCGGCTGGAGATTTGGTAACAGGGGGTGACAATCAAGTGGTGACAGCACTTGAGGAGTCTTCCTTTATTGCTAGGTGATGGGTCCTCTCTTTTCTTACTTTGATCTTGTTAATTCATTTGTTTACTTGCTTAAATTCAATTCCTTACATTAAGTTTGATGTTTTCTAAAGCTATTTGGCTAATTTTCTCTTGATTGTTTTGTTTTTCCATTTTTTGCATTCAGTCTTTGTGGAAGTTCATTAAGATTGTTAATGCATTGTTTTGTTTGATTTCTTTGTTGGATCTTGTAGTAAACTTGTAGATCTAAGTTGCCTTAGCTCAGTTTTAGTTCATTTGCACTATAGCATCATAGATCTAAGTTTTCATTTCAAATTTGATGCAATTTCAAGACTGACGTTAGTTTTGGTTTTGTTGAATTATCATTTTTCCTTGCAATTTTCCTTGAATAACTTCAATTCAATTGTGTTTTGATTCATGTTGCATTGTTGTTTTTACATCTAAGATTCTATTTAGATCAATTTCACGAAGGATTATATGTGCATTTCATTTCAAAGTTTGACGGTTAGTTTGGTTATGTTCAAAATTCATGTTTTAATCTTTCACTGGCAGTTTGGTTGCACTTCTAGCTTTCTCATGTTCATTAGTTTAGATTTACTTTTCAATAATATTAGAATTAATTCCATGCAATTTAGCTAATGTTTTTCTTAGATTTCAAGTATGTTTTTTTTGCATTTAATAAACATGTTTTGAGTTATGTGTATTTCACTTCTTTGTTTTTACATGCTTGTTACGACTAACATAATAATACTTCCTTTAATCGAATGAATTAACCTTAAATTGTGTGGAGATAATTCGTATTTAGCCTAAATTTTTTAGTTAATTTTTATAAGAATGATATTTTAACTTAGGTCACTATTATTACTTAAATAATTTGTGCACTTATAAAAATTTTCAATCAAGTTTTGTTTTTTCAAAAAAAATTTATGGGCTTTAAATCTGAAAAAAAATTAATTTTTTTTGGGTTTCCTCTCTTTACATTCAGCTCGACTGAAGTAAGTGAGAGTCATAAGTGAGACTAATTGCCATAGACTATCCAAAATGTCCTTGCTTAAATCAATAATATCTAATTTGTCCAAATTAAGTTTACTTTGTTGTAAATTGGAGACCCAATTTCTAAAAATTGAGCCGATAGGCATTGGGTTAGCTTTAATGTATTGGTTTACATGAGGGTAAAAAAATTGATTGGTAAACAAAAGTTAAATTTCTTTTATCATCTCACTTGACTAGGAGCCTTGATAATCAAACCGTTAATTAGATCCCACTACCTCTATCAAACCAGCTAAATTTCATCTGGAAATTTTGACTTTACGAAGTTCATATGGCCACTTGTGGATGACATGGCAGCGGGCTTAGTAGGGAATTCGCCCAATTTGTGGTAGATTTGGTGCTGTAGATCTCACCTATTTATTATTTATGCACTGAAAATATATTGATTGATAATAATAGGCAGAACGTACTAAAAAGTTTCCTCTTATCACAAACTCAATGAGAGTTATCGGAAAAGGAAAAACCGATGGAGCGAGGCTTTAAAGGTTGCTTTCTCTAAACGATTGAAAGAATGTCGCCGAGGCATTAAAGAAAAAAGGTAAAATTAAAAGAGTTTTTTCTATTGCTCAGATAGTTTAAAATTTTAATTCTCAAAATGGGATACATTTAAACTTTATTCTTAAATAAGGAACTTTCATCTAATTGGATTCCAGGTCAGCATTGTATTCCATGTGTCTCCTTCCTTTAAGCTTATCTCTTCCCTGCAATCTAACTAAAATGCAACAAAAACATTTTATCTCACTAGCTTCATTATTTAAGATTTTCAAAATAAAAAGAAAAATCATATGATTCAAATTGGGGAGAAAGAAGAAGCAATCCAAATCTAAAACCAAAAAAAAAAAAAAAAAGGAAAAAAAGGTTATAAAATGAAATTTGAAGAGTTTTTTTTTTTTTTTTTAGGCAAATGGAAATTAAATTTTGTGATTTCATAATCATTTGTGGAAAATTTGATTTTTTAGTTTTTGAAACTGATGATGAGATTTTACCATGCTTCCGTGGGAAGTAGATTTGATAAATCAATGCCAATGGATTGGGGACACCAAAGATCGTAGAAGGGACAACTTCGTCCATGAAAGGAAAGGTATGAGACGTGACCACCATCTTCATCTCCACTTTCACAGCTTCTTCCTACGTGATTGTGTGAGAGAGGGGAATAGATCACCAATCAGGGGTGCTCCTTTGTTAAAAGAATGTCGTCGAGATTTGTACTTAGAATGAGAACGAGAGGATCAACGTAGTGTACGACAATGCAGAAGGGGAGATATATATATTAGCATGGGTAGAATTTTTAATATTAGTTTACGTGAAGCTTGTGGTTTTTGTAAATCTAAGGAAGTGTTGAAAGGACAAGTAGGAATTAATTCTCAATATTTTTCTTATGATTTCCATTTCTCTAAAAACATTTGGTAAATTTGTAAAAGTTTACAGTTAAATTCATTTTATTTTGGGTTTGTTCTTAAAAAAGAATCATGATGCACACCCAAGAGAATTGCGTTTTCAAAGCCCTTTCACCATTTCATTTGTCTGCAATGAGATTTGCAACAAGTTTTATTGTTCTTGGTTGATGTTGCAGGAAAGAAATGAAAGATTACTTTGGCTCATTGACATGGAATCCAATTAGATCAAAATATCTTTGTTTTAAGAATAAATTTTAAATGCACCTTTTTTTTAGAATTAAGATTTTGAACTATCTTAATTAAGGAAAAAACTGAAACTTAAAAACATACCATGTGATTTATATGACAGATTAAAAGTGATTTTTAAAATTTAAAACATGACACATAATCACTTAATTACAGTATCACCCCTGTAACGCCGTTACATAAATAGGCATGCCACACTCGCTAATCGTTCTCCTTCCACGCCTACTTCTTCCTTTTCTGTATTTCCTCCATTTTCTATCTCTGTCCGCGGCATTCTAAAAGAACAACACAACAGAAAAAACAATTCAAAGCAAAAATGCCCAAAATAGAAATATTCTTTATTCTCTATCCACCACATAGATCTCAACATCCTCAAACCACCACAGCTTCTACTCTGCCTCCACAAAGGCACAGACTTGAACCTCAACCCGACGCAATCTTAAACCTAAAATCACCAGCCAACCAAACGGTCCAGAACACAAAAACAACCACAATAAAACCCAACACTCGAACCACTATCATCAACAACACAGCCTAGGCGAAACCTCTGTCGCCACTAAACAAATGCCCACCACCATAATGTCACAACCATCAGTGTCGAATCCCTCTGTCACTAAAATCACCACCTCCAGAAGCCAATCACTCCCTCGTAACGCTCAGCCCTCCATTAGCACCAAATAAAAAACACTCCACACTTAGTCCTCTGCGAAATCCAAAACCTCCAATAGCCACCAGCAAAAACACCCAAAACATAAAAAAAAAAAAAAATCTTGCAAAAAAATCCAGAATCATCTCCAAAGGAGAAGCAACTCAAGGGTGCACCAAAAAAAAAAGGAGATGTGGTTTCGATTTTGGGGCTAGGGGAGTTCTTTCAAAGGGTTTCTTTCCGGTTTAGAGTAAGGAGGGAGGAGGAACGGATTCCGAGAAAAGCAACATGATCAATTGTTGAAAGAGGAGTTTTATCATATCAAAATTGGGAATGAACATGTTTTGCATTTTGTTTTTTGTTTTATTTATTTATTTATTTATTGTAACTTTTGCTTACTGTTATTTTGGTCATTTTGTATCTAACAAGGTTACAAGTTACAAGGGTAATAACGAAAACATGACACGGTGGTAACGTGTTATGTTTTAAAGAAACGAGACCCTATCAATCCGTCCGAAACCGTATCATATATTTATGAGGTAAAAAAAAATGTAATTCCCTCCGAATGTTGAAATTTTTTAAGGGAAGAGTATGCATAAGAGACCTTGCAATATCTCTAACATGGAAGGCTCTTTACGGTTAGGAATCAATCATGAATGAACCTACCAGATATCTCTCTTTGGACAAATCATTCTGGGAAATATTGATACCAGGTTGTTTGTGCACCCTTCTAACAGGTTTCGGGTTTTATTAAGCATATTTTGATGTCAACTTATCAAAATTGGTTAACTGAGCATATTCCACGAGTTACAAGCAATAGTTATTGAGTATGGACTTGAAGAGATTAGAGAAGAAGGATCTGTGGAGCTTAACTGAAATAGTAGTAATTTTCATTTCAACTGTGAAAATTGTTGTTTCGACCTTCCCCAATAGAATTTCCTCCTACCAACACTAGAAATAGACATTCTCAAGTTACTCATACATCAGCACCACAGCTTCCAAACTTTTCCTTCCCTTAATGTACTTCAAATTTCATGGTAGAAAGAGCGAATCGGCTTGGGCAGAACAACTGGCAAAGTGTAGTAGATCCCAGAGAGCATCATTTGGATCATATGCATTCTCGAGGTGATTAACTCCATTCATTGCATATAAAGATGCTGATATCTGTCTTTCTACCTTCAAGCTTTCAAATTCCAGTAGCTCTGGATCAATTACATCAGACAGAAGACCAACATCTTGTGGCAACTGCAGTCCTTCTTGGTTTAATGCAATCTGAGCAAACCCCGTTGAGGTTGGCCAGGATTGACGAAACTGCAATGTGGCTGGTTCAAGTTCCCCAAGGCATTTGCTCAAATCTGGCCTGTATGCACCATCAAACATCTGGATGACTTGTTTCACGGAATTACATGGAAAGCTATCATTGCTACTAGCATTACTGACACTGCTATTACTACAAACTATAGTACTTGCTTTAATCGTGGTTTTGTTGGAGTTGATTGTAGAAGTCCCTTGCCTTAAACTCTTCTTATGATTAAGGAGGTTTCTGATCTTCAAAGAGAGATGAGAATTAGTGGGAATATGAGTTGCAAAATTGGTTCGTGTGTTGGAACCCCGGAGAAGGCATGCAGCTTCATCATAAGCTCTAGCTGCTTCTTCAGCTGTCTGAAATGTCCCCAGCCACATTCTTATCTTCTGTGTTGTGTCTTTGATCTCTGCTACCCACTTCCCTGGAGGCCTCTGCCGTACACCAATATACTTGCTTGATCTGCTATTGTTTGCAATTCTTTCCTTGAACTTGCCATGCTTGGAGGATGAAACTGAAACACCTTTTTGCTGATACCTTTGAACTTGGTGTTCCATAGCAGATAGAGTGGAGAAAAGAGAGAAGGGGTTTGGTTCTTATAAACAAAGGGTTTCAAGTTTCAAGTTGTTTGAAGGTAGTCGGCAGGTTGTCTCATTTTGTTGTCAGCATGTCAGCTAGACTTTGTTCTATATTTAGTGACTGATTTCTCAATGTTGAGTTAGATAAATCATTTGATTAATCTGGAACATGCAAGCCATTTTCTCCAAATGAGAAAAATTATAGTAAGAGGCAGGGAGGAGTCGAGAGTTGAGGTTTCTCATTTCTATATATAGATATATATATGTGTGTGTGTGTGTGTGTGTGTGTGTGTGTGTGGATATAAAGGGGTACGCGCGACTGAGCAGCTGTCCACTCCTCTTCATTTTCATTTGGTCAACGAGGAAAGGAACATGAAGGCTCCAAGGCATTACACTTGGAGATGATAGCCTCCGAGTAATAAAAAATAACAATAAAAGATTGGAGCGTTGGACGCATCCATAAGGAATCAAATGCTGCACGCTGACTTCAGTTGGAATCTTTCCTACATTTTGGGTCATATTAGGATGGAGTATTTTTATTATTAAAAATGATTCCATATAAATGTTAATAAAAATTTAAATTGATAAATTAATAAAATTTAATGATAAAATCAATAATAGGTAATTTTTTTAAATAGTATTTATAATTTAAATTTGATTATTATTTATATTATGATTAAAATTTTATCAAAATTTTTAATAAAAATATTTTTTTAAAAAAATAAAAAATTTTAAATTTTTTAAAAATTTTATACACTTAATTTATATAAAAATTTTTTTAATCTATCAATTTAAATTTTTATTTAATAGTTTTTAATAAATTATTTCATCTAAATCTTGACCTTTTACATTTTACCTACAAATTCAAAACACCTTCCTCTTCTCTACGTAATGGTTGTACCAGAATCGAAACCATTCATTCCCGGATTTCATGCTCTTTATCGCCATCACTAGGGGTGTAATCGAGCCGAGTCGAGTCGAATAGTGAGAAGTTCGAACTCGACTCACAACTCGAGACTCGATATTTGATTTGAGTTCGATCGAGTTTTATTTTTCAAGCTCGAGCTCGATTTGTGATCGAATTCAAGTTACTCGAGTTCGTTCGATTAAGCTTGATTAATATATAAAAATAAGCTCGATTCATATACTTGATAAGAGTTTAATTATTCATGCTCAAACTCGAACTCGAAATATTTTATTAATTAAAATAATAAAAATATATTTAAATATAAAAGTTCGATTAGGTTCGCGACCTACTCGAATCGGATATAAGAATACTCAAATTCGGCTCGATCGATAAGTTGAGCTACTCAAGCTCGAGCTCGACTCGATAATAATCGAACCTAATTCGAATTTTCTTCGAATCGAATCCGAATAACTTACGAGTACTAATGTATCATTTACACCCCTAACCATCACCCTAATATTATAAACCAAAGCATTTTAAAGATCAGTTTGTTTGTTTTAACTCCAATTTAAAATCAATCTCAAAACAAGCTGTCAAAATAAAAAGCAGTAAAATGCATCTCTTAATTCTCTTAATATGATTGGATTGAAAACACTAACACTATGTTTAATAATAATAATAAAACAAAAGTGAATAAACATTTGTCTATTGAAAAAAATGGAGATCCAGTTGAAGAAAATCAACACTTATGGTGATAACAACTTAAATAAGCTTTGGTCAATAGCCCAATTAAAGCAGACAAGAAAGGCGTTCATGGAGAGAAGAGACTACAAGGGTGTTCGTGGGTCTTAGGCAACTTTGGCCATGGCTATTAGAGAAAAGGATTTGCAAGGGTGTTCGTGGTTCAATAAGCAGCTGCCTTTGATGCAGATTTGCAAACAGGTAAGGCAACTTGATGATGATTTCAAAAACAAAAATGATTGGACAATAAATCCATGTTGGGCAACCTTCTTACTTCAATAATGGTTAAATCTAAGTTAATCTGAGGTTAAAAGTGAAGATCAAGAGATATTTGTGGGTTTAATGGCAGCTAGTGATGGAAAAAGGGTTGGGGTTTGAGATGGGTTTGTGAGTTTGTTAGTAGAAATTAGGAGCAATTGTGTTTTGTGGCGGCTCTGGAAATTGTCTTTTGTTGGAAACAAACGGCAGACAATTTTCGCTTGTGATACTTCATTTTCTCACAGACATGAAATCAATTTCTGTTGATTAAATTATTTTTGTTCTTCCAAACACTGAAAAACACGCAAAATGATATCCAGAAATAATTTTCATAGTTATCAAACAGAGCTTTAGTTTTTACCTTATGTTCAGTACAAAAAATGAAAAAATAGAATGAAAAAAATGGTTTGACTAAAGGGTTAAAAATGCTCTGAATTATAATTTAATAATTTTTTAAAATTACAATTTAATAATTATTTAAGTTTTTAACATTTTATTACAATCAATCAAGTTTTTAATATTTTATTTTGGTTCAATTAAACTCTTAAATGAACATAATTTAATCACATGGTGAAATTTAATGAATCAATCTTAAACTATAGTTTATTGAACCTTAAAATGATTTTAGAGAAAAAAAAGAAAGAAAATAGAGGAAAAATAAAAAAGAATCTAGTTTATTTAAGTTTCACATATATTAATTGCACTACATAATAAAATTTAATCTAATTTTTTGATGTCATGAAATTTTATTTTAGTTGACAAAAAAATTAATGATACTAATTTTTTTCATCTAAATAAAAGCTTAATTAAAAGCAAATAGAGCTAGGAGAAATTAATTTATTGCAATAAAAAAAAAGTTTGGATGATTTTTAATTATAATTTAAGAGTTTTTTTAACCCTTTAACCAAAAGGTTTAGCATAACAGTCACTTTTTAGCATAGTAGTCACCTTCAAGCTCAAAAAAGTATTTTATCATGTATAGTTTTGTGAATTTTTTCTTTTGAAAAAATAAAAGATCTATTCGAATTATAATATTTGTTTAAATATGAATTGATTTTTTTTATATATTTGATTTTTGTTTGGTTTTGAAATAATCCAAGCACTTCAATCTTACGTAAATATATAAAAGTAAAAGTTTTTGTTAAGAAAAAAAATTCAATGTGCATAGTCTATAGTGATGACATGTGGATAATTTTAAAAATGCAATGTATTCTTTAATTATTCACATTTCAAAAGTCAAAATTCAAAATTGAAATTGAAACTAAATAAATTGTAAATATTTCTTTTTTTTTTAATACTAAAATACACTAAATATCTATGTTTAAGTCATTAATGAATTTGTCTCCTATCACACTATTTTAAATAGATGGTTCAAAAGTTGATTTTCAATATAAGATTATTGGTTCTATACACTTTTGCCTATTATTCTTTTCTATTTTATTTGTTTTGTAAAGTTTTTTTTTAGTGAAGCTAGAAAAAGATAAATGTTTTATTATCATAAATATATTGAGTTTAGTAAAAAATAGTTAAAGTTTTTGAGTTTGCATGGAATATTGGTCTCAACAAGGGTAAAAAAGCTAAAATTATAAGGTGAGAGGTCAATTAATAGCAAAGGTCAAAAGTTTCTCTAGTGTTTGGGCTTTGATGCTCAAGTCAATACTCAAGAAGAGAGAAAGAATGAAAGAAAACTTGAACGTAGATATATGTGAATCAAATTCATAGTCCTTGAAGAATAGTGGCTATTTATACTTGTAGGATAAAAGTGTCGGACTTGGGTGTCCCAAGCTCTAAGTGGTGAGGCTAGGGCTGATGCTGCTAGCCTAACCTTATCTGGCAATCAGTAACACAATTGGAAGTTGATAAGACAACATTCCCATGTGCTTTCAGGTGGGAAGTTGAGGTGGTTGAGATAACATGGGCCTTAAAACTTCAAGTAGGCCCAAAAAATTAGCTTGAATTGAAAAGACCAAATTGCCTTTATCTTGTTGATGATTTACATTTTAGGACAAAATATCTATTTTGCCCTTTGGACCATAAAATGCCCTTAACATTATATCCTTCCATCAAATAGTCTAAGGTGTCAGACTAGTGAAAAGTAGGATTGGCAGATCTATTGTTGTTAAAACAAGCTAGGAGTTGAACATGGATCCCTTTTGGAGCTTCCATTGTATCGATAAAGAAACTATTTTTATGATTATCCTGACCTCAATTTGTTGAGCTAATCTTTATGATAGTATAGATGTGGATAAGGCAATGTCGATATCCTAATCAGAGTTAAAATGACTAATGTGGTGCTTGTATGGTATGGCTGATGTGACGTTAATGGTGTATGTATAGTGTATTCGACATGACATTATATGTGTGGCTGACGTGACATTGGTAGTATGTGTGTTGCATGTTTGACGTGATGTTTATGCACCATGACTGGTCCCTACTGTTATTACAAGAGGAGACTATAGTTGAGCTGCCTACTAGTTAAACCTAATGTTAGCAAAAGGCCAAAAATAAATTGGGGACAACACCCAAGCTAAGGTTGAAAGCCTGTATCATGGTATGGACAAACTTTTAAAGGCAATTGATTCTGACCTTCAAAACCATTTTGTTCCCAAAACGTGGTCTATTCGATCATTTTGTTTGACCTTCTTTCTTTTTTTTTTCAGCTTCACCATAAAACATTTCTAGCCAACCATCCAACCAACCATTTAATAACTTGAGTTCAGAGTCTAGTTATGGGTTAACGTCTGACTCTGACGAGTTTTCTACTTCAATGTCATCTTCATCTACTACTGACCTTGTGAAGGTCCTTGATCCATTTCAGGCTCAGAAACCTTTTCAGACTCTAGAGTCCAAGCAAAACAACAATGAGGCATTTGGAGCTAAACAAGTTCAAAGTTTTAACGAAGTTGAAAGGTCTAGCTAAGGTGAGAAGGAAGGTGAAAATGAAAAGGGAACGAAAGGTTCAGACGATGATGACAACTCTTTCATTTCCTTTAAACTCCTACTCCTTTAGGTGTAACCCAAAAAGACGTGATGAAGAGCTTAAAAGGCCAAGCTAATCCTAAAGATTGCCCTAACTTTTGCTTCATTCATCTTGTCTCTACTAT